GTACATAAAATCTCTAGAGTTTACTCAACTTGCTTAACTGAAATTTTATACCCATTCACTGACTTCTCAATGCTTGGAAAGGAGCATTTTGGTTTTTACTCCTATGAGTTTGAATATTTATCTTAAGTCACATAAGTAGAATCAAGCAATATTTACCTTTCTGTGCCTGAATTATTCACATAGCATAATGTCCTCCAGGTTCACCCATGTTGTCACATATGGCAGGATTTTCTTCTTTTGTAATGCTTAATATTTTTTTTGCATTCACATACCACATTTAAACCCCACAGTATTAAATGCATAATATTTGACTGTTTCTATGAGACCATCTGTCACATGGATAACAGGGTAATTTGAAGAACTACAAACATCAGGAATATTAATGCACAGTCAGTTCAATTCCGCTCCATGGAGAAGACTCAGAAAAAAAAATAATAATGCCATCATTTATTGTCAGTTTACTATATACCAAATAAAATTTCTTCATTTGCAAATTTTCAATTAATTATAAATTTAACTATAATTATATAATTAATTATAATTTTTTTATCAGAAAAAATCTTCAGATGAAAATGTTCTTCTCATTATACAGATGAGAAAATAGCGCCAAAGATTAACTTGACTGCATTAAGGAGCTATTAGGATGGAGTACTGGGACTATAACCCTGGTCTGTCTGTCTCTAAGTCCTGTGTTTACAGCTTGGTGCTGCAATTCATTTTCTTAAAGAGAGATGTCTACCTTAAAAATCAGAATGCTTCCCTGTGGATCCCTTTCAGACCTGCTGGTTCTAATAAAACTATCGAAGGAGATGATTTTACCCCAACGACAACAGTGCAGAGAATGAACTCTGACTGGGCGCCATGACACCTGGCCTGATTCCCATGCTAACACCAGCTCATCAAGACCTGACACCAGTTTTTCACAGGTTGTTTGTTTTTGTTTTTTAATCTATAAAAATAGAATAATTGGGCAACTTGGCGAGACCTCGTCTCTACAATAAATTTTTTTAAATTGCGCTAAATCTGTAGATTGTCTTAGGTAAAATGGGCATCTTAACAATGTCAATTCTTCCAATCCATGAGCATGGAATATTTTTCCACTTGTTTTTGTCATCTTTTATTTCTTTGAGCAGTGGGTTTGTAGTTTTCTTGTAAAGATCTTTCGAATCACTGATTAGGAAGATGCCAAGGTATTTCCTTTTTTATGTGACTTCTGTGAATGAAATTGTGCTTTTTATTTGGATTTCTATTTGTTTATTATTGATGTACAGAAATGCAATTGTCTTTTGCATATTTGTTTTATGCCCTGAGACTTTGCCAAAGTCCTTTATCAGTGCAAGGAGGTTTTTGGCAGATTCTCTTGGGTTTTCAAGGTATACAATCATGTCGTCTGCAAAGAGAGATAACTTAACTTCCTCTTTTTCTATTTGGATACCCCTGATCACCTTCTCTCCTCTGATTGCTCTAGCTAGGGCTTCCAAAACTATGTTGAACAGGAGAGATAAGAGTGGGCATCCTTGTCTTGTTCCAGCTTTCAGGGGAAATGGTTCCGATTTTTATCTGTTTAAGAGTACGCACGTGGCTGTGGCTTTCTCGTAGAGGGCTCTTACTATTTTGAGGTATGCTCCACCTATGCCTAGACATTTGAGGGTTTCTATCAAGAAGCGGTGCTAGATTTTCTCAAAAATTTTTTCTGCATCTAATGATATAATCATGTGGCTTTTGTTTTTACATCTGTTGTTATATTTAATTACATTTATGGTCTTACAAATATTGAATCAGCCTTGCAAAAGAAGACATACGAGCAGCCAATAGATACATGAAAAAATGTTCAGCCTCACTAGTCATCAAGGAGATGCAAATTAAAACTACACTGAGATATCACCTAACTCCAGTCAGAATGGCCATCATCAATAACTAAAAAAATAACAGATGCTGGAGAGAATGTGGCGAAAAGGGAACCCTTCTACACTGTTGGTGGAAGTGTAAACTAGTACAACCTCTGTGGAAATCAGTGCGGCAGTTCCTAAAAGTTCTAAAAATCGACCTTCCATATGACCCCACAGTTCCCCTACTGAGAATATACTCAAATCACTCTATAAAAAAGATACCTGCACACGTATGTTTCTCGCAGCATTGTTCACAATAGCAAGAACATGGAACTAACCGTGCTACCATCAAAAGAGGCCTGGATTCAAAAAAATGTGGTACCTATACACAATGGAATATTATGCAGCCATAAAGAAGAACAAAATCATGAACTTCACAGCAACCTGGATGGAATTAGAGTTTATAATACTGAGTGATCTCTCACAGAAACAAAGAGCTGAGTATCACATGTTCTCACTCATATAATGGACCTTGCACAACTACTCTAATACTATAAGAAAAGGATTGACAGTAGCGGGAAACTGCAGGGGGGAGGGGGGAGGGAAGTGGGGTGGGGAGGTGGGATTGACCGTAGTTGATATCTGCCTGGGGAAGGGGGGGCACACCTCATCAACAAGGGTACCTGCACAATGAATATTTGTATACCTCACCCTAAATTGTAGCCCACAATTTTAAAATAAAAATTAAAAGAGGGAAAAAAAACTAGCCAGGTATGGTAGCGCATGCCTGTAGTTCCAGCTAATTGAAAGTCTGAAGCAGGATAGCCAGAGCCTAGCAGGTCAACACTGAGGTGTCTGTGAGCGTGCCACTGCACTCCAGCCTAGGCGATGGAATGAGACTCCAACTCAAAAAAAAAATAGAATAATACCTTCCATCTACTGTGTGGTGCACAAAATATAATAGAATGAAGAACCTAACCTATGACAGGAATCTAGATATCTTGATTCCCCTTGTTAATCTCATACAGCCTCTTCCACAATTCCTCGTGTGCAAAGGCAGATATAGACACATATTGCCAATAATCTTTAGTTGATGATGCAGAAGTCACAAAAGTGGAAATATATATGCTTGATACTTTATTACATGAAATTAACTAAAGAATGCTTCATACATATCTTCTCAGATATATAAAAATCAAATTTATTAAGTTATGAATTATATAAACACTGCACACTTTGAGTAAATAAAAGCAACTTTTGAGCAACATGTATATATCCAAATAACCCCTACTCCTATTAAGATGTACATTTCCATTACATCTTAATGTAATTTCCTCAGGCCCCTATGCAATGCCTCTCTCTATCCTTTACAACAAGATATACATATATCACTACTGATCAAATTTCCTTGTGTATGGTTTGAATGTTACGTACTATCTCTAATCATCAAAACTCTTCCTCTTTAGTACATAGGTAAATATGCTCCTGAAAATATTTATGATTTTGGAAGGGTTTGAAACCACATGAGATACCTGATCCCTATTAAGGACAATCTTATCTGGAGATAAATGTTGTGATGATATGAGAGTCAAAGGTCTTTCCAGGTGGTAGAGGTTGTTTCTACAAAAATTCGTTTTCAATAATTTATTTTCTCATTCACTCATTCACTTAAAATTATTTTATAATGATGCTTTGACAAAAATTAGTGATTTTTAAGGAAATTATTTTGAGTTACCATCAGAATTGGGCTAGACTTCATGATCACACACCAAATGTGCTTGGGCCAAACAAACCACAGGCAATGATGACTTTACTGAAAGATGGTACCTTACTGGAGAAGGACTATTATTGCCTTGACCACAAAGTCAACCCACAACATCTGAGCCCTGAGCTTGAAAATTCCCCTTTCTGTCCTGCCACTGACTTGAATACCAGGATTCTGTGCTGTATATGCCTCTGTTTCTTGGACAAGAAGAGCCCCATGCACAGACGTGGAACCCATTTATGGCTTGCTAGACTCCAGTTTGTAGGAGACAGCACCAAATGGCCCTTTCTCTGACTATAGTTTCTGTGTCCTCTCCTAAGCCTCATGGATGCTGATACCCAGACCCCAGGAGAATAACACATGAGAAGGTAAGTGAAATATGAAACAAAATCTGCACCAAGAACCAGCAACATGAATTATTGGCAAGTACTTTGTGCAAACACAGTTAAGAATTTGAAGATCATGACAGGTGCGTGCTAAATCAAGTGTGGGGTCCTTTTAAATGTGGGACTCTGTGCAACAAGCTACAGTCTTTCAGCTCCTCTTATTTATTAATAAATTAATGGCAGGCTTCTCTCATGAGGAGTATTCTTTATGATTATGATGTCTCAAATAAAACCAGAGCATGTTTCCTTACCTGGAGTCTGTCCCCCCTCCAAAGTCCCATGCACTTCAGTACCCCTTTGTGCAATAGGCCATGTGCAGTGCTGGGCAGCCACCACCTTTCCCAAGGTGAGGGTAGTCACCGGCCTGAGGTGGTTCTGCCCACTGCAGTCTTGCTACAAGCACACAAGGCAAGTGCTCTGAGTGGATATGAAGGTCTCTAGCTGCATTTGTCAGGAGTCCCATTTGTCAGTGAATTTACTAGAAACAGAGCAAATGATTCCTCAAATGCTGAAGAGCTGCCCCTGAGTCTTGAAAACTTGATGCCAAAGAGAATCATTGTAAACAGATGGATGTTAAAAGGATTGTGGCCAATTAAGCAAATTAGGAAAGGATACCCCAAGGAATATTTGGGCCATGGGACTCATAAAAATCATCAGGAAGCCATAAGAAATTTCTCTAAGATTCTTGACTATAGAAATATTTAAGTCACTAAACCCAGTGTACTAATGAGGAATTATGTCATCACAGGAATAAAATTTAATGGTGTTAGAAAATGTTTACAAAGAACTCAAGAAAAACTTGTAAGACTTGCGCCAATTCAGACAAATGCACTCTTCTTTTTCAAAGCTGTTCACTTGTGCATTTATTTAAATTTGACTCTGGAGAAGGGGCGTGGCCCCTTCTGACAGGAAGACACTGGGGGCCAGGCAGGGAGAAACAAATCTTAGATGACTGCTGGAGCACCCTGTTCCCTTTCTTAGTGCACATAGCCCAAAACTCTTCTGCCCTGCCCTGCACCTGCAATGAATATTGGCCTGCTGTGCTGTGTGGCTTTTTGTCTCCTACGAGCAGGTGAGTCCTAGGCTGGGCCCTCACATTGATTTTGAGTCCAGCACTAACCTTTCCACTGAGACTGTGGCTCTGGCTTTGTTCTATTTGTCTACAGGTCCAGTGAATGCTGGTGTCACTCAGACCCCAATGTTCCAGGTTCTGGAAGCAGGACAGAGCATGACACTGACATGTGCCCAGGATATGAACCATGAGGGCATGTACTGGTATCGACAAGACCCAGGACTGGGGCTAAAGCTGATCCATTACTCAGTGGCTGTTGGTACCTTTAGCAAAGGAGAAGTCCCTGATGGCTACAGTGTCTCTAGGTCACGTACAGAGAACTTCTCCCTCACGCTGGAGTCAGCTACCCACTCACAGACATCTGTGTACTTCTGTGCCACCACTTACTCCACAGCGCTACACTACCGTCTTCTGTCTGCACATAAAGACAGGGCAGGCACTGCCCCTCACCCCACCCCTAACCCAGTGGTGCCTTGGCTGAGTCCTCAGCACCTGTAACCTCAGAGCCCTGAGGGACGTGGGTGGTGTGAACCTCCATCATGCCTAGTGTATTTGCAGACCTGATATGATCCCAGGACAGTAGGAGCAGGTGTCTCCATTTTTCCTCTCTGGTCTTTTCTCGGAACTGTCCTTTTTGGGTGCATACAAAGCTTCCCCAGCTATGACTTTCCATGTCATTCACCTGAGTGTGAGGCCTCCCTGACGGAAAGTGATTTGTATTTCAGATAGATGTAGACTTCTCTCCCAGACTCCACGTTGCTTTCTCTCCCAAAGATTCTCTTTAATCCCTAAACCTCACATGGTGTATACTTGAGCCCAGTTTTCTCAGATGGGCAGTCATCTAGAAGGTCCTGCAGGGTCTCTCTCACCTCTCCATTCCAGCTGGGCTGTGAGCCCATCTGTGCCTCCATTCCTCCCTTCACAGAGATTCCAAAGGCCATTTCCTCTACACTGGATGTGGGTCCTTCCTTTTACTACAGCTAATTTCTACCTGGGCCTCAGTTCTCAGTATCATTACACTCCAGAGGGAAGCCTTCCCTCCCCTCCCAGATCTCAAGTGATCATGTGCTTTTTAGTTTGCAGAATTTAGCACACTTGAAATTTTCTAAATATGTCTGATTATTTTTCTCCCCACCTAAAATTTAAACTCCATGAGGGCCAAGGCTCTGACTGTGGGCTGTACCATCCCAGTCCCTGGAACACAGGGAGTACCCATTTCATAGATGATGAGTGAGTGACTGAATGAGTGAATGATGAGTGGATGGATGATCCAATGACAGGAACACCCTACATCCACTTTATCCCAGCAGAGATCTCACATTAACTACAAAAAACCCTACCCCTTTGATCTCTGGCCCTGGGTGGTTCCTGGAAATTAATGGAAAATGTATCTCATGGGTAGTCATACCTGGTTCAAGTATTCCTCTTCTGGCTGCAGCACCAGATTTCTTCCTGCAGGTACCTGTTCTTTCCTTCAGGATCTTTTGCCACAGTAAATCTAGACAAATCAGAAAACTACTTCCAGAAATCAATCCATAGTCTTTTCTTTTTTTTCAGAACCACTTCTGTTACCAAAACTATTAGGTTTTCATAAATGAAGCAGAGCCACTATAAGTATTATAAAGGGATTTACAGTGGGAATCAAACCTTATATAAAGGTGGGAGGAGCTGAGAAAGAGATGATCTAGAATGGAGAAGACAGTGTTAGAGAGACATACATCATCTATGACTTTTAGAGCTTTGGTGCAGGATCAACTATAGTGGCTGTGGCATGAGATCAGAGCATGTCAGGCACCCAGTGGGACCTTAAAATAGGAATAAAGAAGAATTCCATGGAAAACCAATTTGGTGGAAGCTGTTGCCTCTGTGGAGGGGGCCCTTCTATGGGTCTACTGCCAAGCACCTGGGAGCAGCCTGACTGTTGTGTCCAACATTTGGGACGAAAAACTAGACAGGGGGTATAGAAAGGTCAGGACTTCCTTAGCATGTTGGACATGTCTATATCTGTGGCGCACTCTCTCTCTCTCACTGTCTGATTACAATCAATTTCCAAGTGTAGTGGTGAAATGTTACTTCTAAATTTCACACAAAAACCTCTTTGATCAACTCTAACACAGAATCATAATGTCAAAGGTGTTTTAACAAATGTAGTTTCAGCCTTCCCTAAATTGACTTAACAAAATCTAGCACAGGATGGTTTTTCTCCAATTGAGGCATCTGGTCACACTTCTGTCTCCATCTGCCATGGTCTCCTGGCTCCTCTCCCAGGGACACTTTTGTTTCTCAAGTGAATGTAGGCACAACTTGGATGACTGTGTTCTAGATTTTCCAAAGTCTGAATAATAACTTTTCTTCAAGACTGTGGCTGCAGTCTTCCTCCTTTCCAGAGGCAAGAAACTATCTCCCACTTCTATCTTCTTATTCCTGATATCTCCTGTTTCTATCTTCTCATTCCTAAGATGCCATCCTGCTAGAGATCCATGGGCTTCAGATATCCTGGACAGAGAAGCAGACCAGTGGAGACAGTAAGAGGGAATCTCAGCTCTAACTGCACTCCTAGACCTAGCTCTGTTATACATAAAGCAAGTGCTCTGAACTTCCCTTTGAGCACCTGAGTATAAGAAATGTGCTTCCCAGATTTATAGTTATTCAGCTCAGTGATCTGACAACAAGCCCAGAGTGAAATTTTCAGAGCCGAAGAATTTGTTCTGTGTTTCTGTGACGATGATAAGAATACAATGCTGTAGCAATGTACTCACTGTTAAGTAGATCTGGCCATAAATAGGACAATGCTGAGAGTGTTAAAAGGCTTAAAATATGCCTGAGAAAATTGAAGGAAAATTTCCTTCTACTGACCACATTCAGTCCCCAGTAAGACACATTTTATCACTCTTCCCTACGAATCAACTGAGTACTCACAATATCACATTTCCTAGCATCTTCTAACAATAAGGCAAATAGTTTAGACAGCACCTTTTTTTCCTGCAACATGTTGGTGAGACTCCAGAAATTTGGGCTTGACAGCAAAGATCTCTGTCTTTACCTATCTAGGTCTGTCAGGAAAGTTTGATGCATCATTCATGTGACCTCTTATTCTACTCAAAGGAGAACATATGATAACAAAGTAAAAAAAAATTATTTTACTTTGAATAAATTGGAACCACAGGGGACTCCTGAAGATGGCAAGAGCATAGGTGGATCCGTGAGACCCTCTGAATGTGAGTTTCCAAAAACACTCTTACTTTTCTTCCTGCAGCCCCCTGTCCACCGCCAGCCACACTGGCACGAGGCCCGGGGACTTATGGTCACAGGCAGGGCCAGATATTGCAGCCCAGCTGCCACTTCTCCACTATATATGTGATTCCTGCCAGATGGGGAATCCCAAATCTCGAATCTCCGCTCCCTCCCTGGCTACATCGTCATGACCAACACCCAGCACCAAGCTGCTGGTCACCCAGGGAGGCTCTGGGTGCCCACCCCTCAGAGATACCAGTCCCATTTCTGGCTGAAGTGCCCTGTGAGGGATCCAGGGCCACCACCTGCCCTTTGGAGCTTTGGAGAACTGGAGCCCCAGGCCCACCCTGGCTGAGGCACTCAGCGTGCCACCTCAAGCCTGTGTAAGGGAGCAGAACCCCAAGCTTGTGTAAGGTGCTTATCGGAGGCTCTCAACTCCAGAGGAAGGAACACCTGACCCTCTCCTCCACCCCAGCCTGCTGGTGGCACCCCAGATCCAGAACCCAGCTGTGCAGCTGGTCCCGCCTAGAGAACCACATGAGCATCTCTAAAACTGAAAGTAAAACGACCACCTCCGCTATTTTCAAGGCAGACTTGCATCGCCCCACCCACCTATCAGAGCCTCCACCTTGGTTCCCATGGTGACAGCATTAAACAGGAGACAAAGCCCCTCCCCTACACTGAACAGACTGAGACAACTAAGAGTTACAGACCTCCAAGGCAACAGGCTAGCTGCCTGCAACAAAAACAGAGGGGAGAGGTGGGAGATCAGAGCTCAAGGGACTTTAGCCACTACAGGATAAGAGAAAAATCTACACAAATGAAGAAAAACCAAAAGAAGAATATGGGTCTCTCCCAGACTCCTGGGAGGGCAGACACTGAGAAAACTGACTTTGGAATGCAAACAATGAAGAGCCCCCAGAATGACTGGCCTCAAACTACAAATCTAGACATCAAGACATTAATGGAGAGATTAAAAAGAATTGAGGAGACTCAAGAAGAAACTAGAAAGGAGCTGGTATCTGAGATAAAAGTAATAAAGAATACTGTGAATGAAATAAATAACAAACTGATAAGCATGGAAAGCAGAATTACCAAAGTAGAAGAAAGAATCTCAGAGCTTGAGGACCAAAATATAGAACGAACCCAAACTCTCAAAAACACAGAAAACAAGCTCAAAAAGACAGAAAAAAACCTTCAAAGGATGAGCGATTACCTCAAGAGGCCTCACCTAAGAGTAATTGGCCTTCCTGAGGCAGAAAGAGAGACAGAGACCACACTGGAACAAACCTTCCATGAGATCATTCAAGAAAACTTCCCTTATCTAATCAATTATGCAAAAACTCAAACACAAAAGATTCAGAGAACCCCTGCAAGACAACAAATGAGAAAACCAACTCCTAGACACATAATAATTCACCTAAACAATGTAGGTATAAAAGAAAAAATCCTAAAGGCAGCAAGAGAAAAAGGCCAGATCACCTACCATGGAAAACCAATTAGAATAGCAGCAGATTTATCTACAGAAACCCTGCAGGCTAGGAGAGCTTGGAGCCCTATCTGCAAAGTCCTAAAAGATAAACAATTTCAACCAAGAATAACCTACCCAGCCAGATTAAGCTTCATCAGCAAGGGAGAATTAAAATCTTTCCCAGATATCCAATCCCTAAGAACTTATGCTGCCGCCAAACCACCTCTACATGAAACACTTAAGAAAGTACTAAACACAGAAGAAAAGGGGGGGGAAGAGCAACATTCTTCACAAGAGTACAGAAAAAAGAATAAAATACACAGAAACCAACTCCCAAAACAAAAGAAAGACAATAAACCAAGTGGAAGAACAACTCTATAAGAACACTATAATAGGGATGAACTCTCACATTTCAATAATTAGCCTGAATGTGAATGGACTAAATGCACCACTGAAAAGACATAGAATGGAAAAATGGATAAAATATCACCAGAAAACAATATACTGCCTTCAAGAGACCCATCTCACTAGAAAGGACATGTACAGACTCAAAGTAAGAGGTTGGGAAACAAATTTTCAGGTGAGTGGAACACAAAAGAAAGGAGGAGTCACGATCCTAATTTCAGACAAAATACCATTTACGCTATCAAAAATTTAAAAAGATACAGAGGGCCACTACATAATGATAGAAGGTTCACTCCATCAACAAGAAAAATCTATCCTAAACATATATGCACTTAACATAGGTGCACCAACTTTTATAAAGCAACTCCGAGGAAAACTAAAGAAAGAT